TTTTGTGCCACTAGATGTCCTTAGTCTTCTGGGTTGAGCGAAGGCCAGCATCATACAACCCACTTCCTCTGAGGACAAACTGTGCCTGGTCAATAAAGGAGAAGCAACAAATAATGATTGCATCTCTGTCACTCTTGATTTCTCCTCCTATCAGCAATTCTTCTTGTCAGCACATGAACTGAATGGCTTCTTGTGCAAAATTTAGTTACTTACACTGCTTTAAAAATACATTGATTGGGGTATTAATCACTTGCCCTCCAGAGGATTTGTGTCCCTTCTTGACTAGGATGTTTTTTGCGCTGCGTTATTTTAACTGACAATTGCGCAGTCATGCAATGTTGTACATAAACAAAATTTATATTATTTTTTCCCCACAAATAGAGCTTTCTTTTAGTGGTATTTGATCACCTCTGCAGTTTTTATTTTTGCGCTATAAACAAAAAAAGGCCAACAATGTTGAAAAAAAAAACAATATTTTTCACTTTTTGCTATAAAACATATCCAATAAAAAAATTTCCAAAATTACATTTCTTCATAAATTTAGGCCAAAATGTATTCTCCTTCATTTTGCTAAAACAAATCCCAACAAGTGTATATTAATCGGTTTACGTGAAAGATATAGTGTCTACAAATGGTGGTATGTATACTGGAATTTTTATTTTTATTATATACTAGTAATGGCGGCGATCAGTGACTTATAGAGGGACTGAGGCGGGCATTCTGACACTAGGTGGGAGCTGACTAACTGACACTGACATCCCCAGTGACACTAATACAGTGATCAGTGCTAATAAAAAGCACTGACACTGTACTAATGACACTGGACAGGAAGGGGTTAACATCTGGGGCGATCAAACAGTTAACAGTGTGCTGTGTGCTGTTTTACATTGTGTGCTGTGTTGTGTGTTTACTACTAGGGAAACATGCTGCTTTGTATCTCTCTGCTGTGCAGAGAGATACAAAGCAACCTGTCCATGCTGACAGGGGAGAGAAACCTGTGTGGTTTACACACAGGTCTCTCCCCTGTCAGCTTTGCTGACGATCACCGAGTGACTGACATCCCCAGCAGCCAATAGCAGTGCATGTAGGGCGGTACGGACACCCCCTATCCAGAAATGCAAATCACGCATATATCTGATTTTGCGCAGCCATGCCACCCTGTAGCAGTACATCTGCTATAGGACAGCGGGCAACTGGTCAATAAACACAGAACCACAACGAAGTGTGTCTTTTATATCTGTCTACAGTTCATCTTTAAATTTTGTGTGTGTAAAGAGACAGAGTTCCAAACTATACTGCTAGTTGCAAAGTGTCTGCTTCACGTCATTATTGTCATATCTTTCCATTGTACTATTTCTGCTTTTTTTGCCTCCTTCCAATAATTCATTGACAGTATTTGGGCTATTTCTGGCTACTTCAGCATTTGTGTGCGGGTCTCTGGAGATATTATGTAGTGGTGAAGCTACTCAGGCAAAAGTGTCATAGGTAATAATCTCTGAACATGCCTTAGGAGAAAAGCAAACCAAATGAAGGTGCAATCAGTACTTGGTGGAAGAGCAGATGTCACGGAAGACTTGATACAAGGTCATTTGCTTTAACCCCATCAACATTGTAATTTAAAATAATAGGCAGAGTAACAGTCATAAGTCATGACATTTACAAAAAATATGAGAAAAGGATGTCTTCTCTGCCTTAAGGTGACCTTAAACCCTAACAATGAATTTGTCTGTTATGTTCCCTTTTGGTCTGTTTAATATACAATTGTAAAATACAATTGTAAACCTGTTGACCTTGTCAGAAATTCAGAGAGGTTCTGTGTCCTCTGCACATTGCCATTGTCATCTCAAAGTGCCCTCCTATTTTTTTTATCTTGGGTTACAGAATGATCATCCTTTACATTGTATACATCTGAGAGTGGGAGTGGTTGAGCAATTTAGCAAAAAACACTGGGCAGGGCTGACACCACTCAGCCCACAAAATGCTGTGTGTTGTTGGCTCACAAAGGGAAATTAGGAGCAGAATGCATTTCTGGAAAATCAACAAGTATTTTTCTGTATTTTCAGATTCTATAAAGGGATAAAACATTGAAAATGTGTATGCATTGTACCAATTTACTGCATTTTTTTATGCCTTAGCAAATGATGTAAGAAGCCTATAGACATAAAGAAAGGTTTGTGTTATAGAAAAGGACTTTCAGTAACATTTAGTTATACATTAAGCCCCGGTTCACACTGGTGCGACTTGTCATGCAATTTGACAGTTCCAAATCGCATGACAAGTCGTATCCCATTGCCAGCAATGGAACCATTCATATCGCCGCGACTCAAGTTACAGTGATTATGAAAAAGGTTCCTGCACTTCTTTTGGCCAATTTCATTGCAACTTGCATAGACTTCTAATATATGAAGCCGCAGCATACAAATTGCAATGGAATCAGCAGTGCAAATCTCACTGATAAGCAGCTTTGAAATCACACTGAAGTAGCATGGTTTTTAAATCCTCACCAGCAAGATACAGGAGCTCTGAATAGAAATCCATAAGCAAGCTGGTAATGATATCTTAAAAAAACAATGTGACTATGCCCAGAAACAAAAAGCCCAATGACTTTTATGCAATTTACTTGGGTCAGATCCCACATTGGTGTCCGTTTATGACACAGAGAATAGCTGCGATTCAACAGATCTCAGCTATTCTCTGGTCATTCACAGTTTATGACACTCAGGAGATCTGTGTTCTCCCTCCAGATTCTCCAGCCCAGAGCTGGAGAATCAGAGGGACCGAAAACTAAGCAGAGATAATTTACCTCTGCTTAGTAAACTGATCTTTTACTGTAATCTCACGAGATTATAGTAAAATGAGCCGTTTTGCAGAGTTTGTAGACCGTTCTCCAGCGTTTGGAGACCGTTCTCCCTTCGTTCGGAGAACTGCTTCATAAACTGCATTCACAGGAGAACTGTGTTCTCCGAGAATGCCAGAGAACTGAGCAGCGATCTATTACTGCTGGTTCATGAACGGACACCTATGTGTGTATTGAGTGTGGGCTAGCTGCTGTAGTCTGTGCTGTGCAACCACTTCATGTATCATTTAAACCGAACGTTTAAGCGCAGGTCTGTATCTGACCGACGGCTGTAATTAAATTCTTTGAACTTAGAACTGGTCTTTCCTGCATTGTGGGCAGATAAGAGCAAGGGGTTTCAAGATCACCAGATTGCCAACAAAAAGTGATGGGGTTGACCAGTGCACTACAAACAATCTCTGGATGAAACACTAAAGACTTGAGCTTGCAGTCAGTGATTCATCTGTGCATTTGGCACATAATAATTAATTTTTGACAGAAAACCGAGAATGGACTCTAAATTACATTTAAGTACAAGTATATATATTTTTTTTAAATGGAGTTTTCTAAAAAGATTATCCCACTTTTATAATTGCATAACAGCTCTCTAAAATCTCTCTTCTATTTTATTTAAACAGGCCAGCAAACAAATAAAACCAAAGACTTTGTTTATGAATATCTGCATGTCCTATACAACTTGTTTGTCTATATTATTTGCTATTGTAACCCAATAGGGTGACTTACCAGTATGATTGGGAAGTACAGTTTTATGGCATCACTGAAAAAAAAAAGTTGACTCCACTGTGTGGTCAGCTCACAGTACTGAACACTAAATATTTGACATGCACTATAATACATGGTAAACATTGCAGTCGGTCCAATTTGCCAGTTCTGATGCAGCACACTTTATTTTTTGAAGGGTTTTTGATGCCTACGAAATGCATGTGTGAAAAAAGAAAAGTGCTTTGAGGCTTGTAAAACACCTAAAAGACGTTATTCACAATTTATAATTAATTTATAATATAAAAAAGTATAAAGGAGAATTAGTGCTGGAAAAAGCTCCTGACACCTGACAACCCTCTATACCCCAATTTGTGAGTGCAACCAATGATTTTTTTTGTCCATTAAACTTCCTTATACACTATAGGGTATGCTCTCCTCTCTTCTTTCTTTACACAGGTTTGCAGCGTCAGCCCACACAGCTCAGCAGCAGCACCCTCTTAGCTATAGCAGCATTTGGACTGTTTTTTAATTTGGGCTACCTGCTTTTAGATAATATTGTTATATCCTGGGCAGCACAGTGGCTAAATGGTTAGCACTTCCACCTGGCAGTACTGGGTCATTGGTTCGAATCCCAAACACAGCACCACCTGTCTGTAGTTTGCATGTTCTCCCTGTGCCTGCATGGGGATTCTCTGGTTTCCTCCCACACTCCAAAGACATGCTGGTAGGTGAATTGGCTCCTATCTAAATTGGCCCTAGTATGTGTATGTATGAATGTGAGTTAGGGATCTTAGATTGTACACCCCTTGAGGGTTAGGGACTGATGTGAATGTACAATATATATGTAAAGCACCATGTAAATTGACAGACAGAGCTATATAAGTATCTGAAATAATAATAGTATCCATATTGCTTTTTCACTGTTTTTTTATCATTTATTAAATATATATTGTACTTTTGGATTGATTTATATTTTATCCCACCTCATTTTTAGGATTTCATTGTTTTATTTCATCACACTCACACAATCCTAATCAGACTCAGCTAGTGGACAGCCTTACCGGGCTCATCATAGCTTTTTAAACTACAGGTGACATTTTCCTAGGGCGAGCCCAGTTTGTTACACAGGGCTTGCTCTGACACTATCCACTTTGGAAAAAGCTCTTGTAGGTTTACCCAAATGATTTCTGCATATTAATTTTTCTAGGTCCATGTAACTGGTGGTGTGGAAGGGGTGTGTCTTTTGCCTACATGTGTCCCACATTGTCATCTCAGAAAGTTGGGAGATATGCTACCCTCAGCTATCTAGTCAGAAACTTCTAACTTCTAAGGAGGAGCAATAACATTTTTTTTGAGTGTCCACATCACTGCTTGGGTGATGTCACTCCTTTTGGCTAGTGGTGGGGTACTCAGAAGACTGCAGTGGCGAGATGACAATAGGTTAACCTCCCTGGTGCTATTCCCGGGTGTAGCTCGGGGTTAACTTTCAGTACCAGAAGCGGTAACCCCGAGCTACACTCGGGGGAATACACTGCAGCGTTTCTCTGGGATCCCTCCAGCACTTACCTTGTCCTGCGCTCCCGTGATGTCCCCCCTGCAGTGTCCCCGGCCATGTCCTCCGGCCGATGCTGACATCCGTCTTCCAGGTTCCGTTCCCTGCGAGTGTCGGGACGTACGAGATGTACGGGGGACAAAACCGGTGGGAATTTCAAAAATGTAAAAATTTGACATTCACTCAATACACTAAAATCTCATAGTATTACATTACTGTATCAAACCATTTCACATACATTTTGTCCCGAGTGCTTTGCCCTGTGCCCTGCCTGCATTTTTACTGTTCTTTCTGCCTTGAAACTGAGAAATGTTCATGGCGTCTAAAAAGCGTCCCTTTAGGTCAAAAGCGGTTTTAGACCAGCTAGAGAACAGCGATAGTAAATTAGAACCACTTGCAGAATTGAGTGATAATGATTCGTGGGGAAATTTCTCATCAGACACTGAAAACGATTTTGCGACTAAGCTCAGTGATGTGCGAACCTGGCGCTCTATTTCAAATTTCAGTGTTTTTAGTTTGATTACGTTATTAAATTTAATTTATTATTATTATATTATTTTTTATGATTATTTATTATATTATAATTTATGATTTTGTGTTTTAAATTTTATTATACCCTGGATGTTTACTAGACTCTTGCTCGGACAGATTTCAGTGAGTTATTCCTTACAATTACAGGCCTACAATATAAAACTACATATTTCCATTAAAAAAAATATACCAATATACCGCTTTGAGCACAGAAATAGTAACATAATCAGACCGCTAGGGAGGTTAAGATGACTGGTTTACTGCAGCATTGGAGTGACTCCCAGAAGTGGCATTGGTGAGGGATACAGACAGTAGGTTTAAAGAAGAACTAAATAAAACACTTTCTTTTAAATTTGGATACAGTAAGTGAGGTTTATATTCCCTGTCAGTTTTTTTTTTACCCATCTGTGTCCCGTTTCCTGATTTCCCTTCACTTTCTGTCCCATAGCCAAAACAGGAAGTGAGAAGAAAGTGAGTGAATCGTTGGTTGTCACCATAACTAGTGCTCCTATTGGAAGATTTCCCTTTCATTTCTGTTCTGATGACAAAATTTGGGATTTTCTTTCACTTTTATTCTTGGTGATAACAGTAAAAGGTCAACCTAGCAGTGTCCTAATCCCTCTCCAATCTCTCCAAAACTAATAAAGTTTTGCATTTAGTTATACTCTACGTAAACATAAAAAAATCTATTTTTCCAAATTAATAATTAGGTATTTATATTTAAAAACAATCTGGTGAATGCTTGTAAGGGGGGCTTGACGTGCCCGAGATGGACGTTAATGCAGTTTAATATAGACAGTTGTTTCATGTTGTGAGCCATTTCAGGCTGAGAACAGGTTGACTTCAGTGTTCCCCTGTAAGATTACTAGACAAGAAACAGCTGTGTGAATCTAAATATCTCCGCAAAACTTCATCACAAGTACATTAAATGGTCAATTCACCCAAATCTGATATTTTAGTGTTTTGCAGATGCTAGAAGATTAACTCTCATACTGGTTTCTTATATCTTTTAGGATTTCTGGCGGCAAACTCTCTTAACATGTGTTCCCAGGTCTGCATGCATGCTATGGGTGTTAACTTCCTTCTCCCTTTATTTCTTAAAGTAGAACTAAAAGCAAAACTTTTTTTTCCCATTTTGGATAGAGCAAGACTGGTTTATAACCGCTGTAAGGTTTATTTTTGCCATCTGTGTCCCATTGGGAAGATTTCCTTTCACGTCCTGTCCCATAACCAAAATAGAAAGAAAGAGGAAATCCCTCCAAAGTGAATATCTATCTGGTTGTCACCAGGACCACCAGAACTAGTATGCCCATTGGAAGATTTCCCCTCTCTTCCTGTTTTGTGGACAACCCAATTTTCTTTTACTTTCACTCTTGCTGATAATGGTAAACATGACAAATAAAAGGTGAATCTCCCTAATGGGGGAAAAAGGGGCACAGACAGCAATAATAACGTGACAAGAGGTTTAATCCCTCTCCACTGTCTAAAACAAAAAAATGCCTTTAGAAATGCTTTAAAGTGGAGCTCCACCCAAAAGGGTAAGTTTTGCTTTAAGTACTGGTCCCCTGCTCCCCTTGGGGAATTGGAACCTTTGGGGAGCAGCAGGGGGAGAGCAGGTATCCAATTTTGACAGGTACCCACTCCCACTTCCACTGCTGTAGGACCACATCCAGGTAAGTGGTAACACCCAAAATTCCCAGGTGGGTGGAAACCAAGTTAGAAACTTTAACAGGGAGATCCCTTTGAAGAATCCCTAACAAGCTAATGAAGCCAGCAGGCAACGTAGCCTGCCAGGCTCCATGTCTTACGGAAATCTCATTTTTGTGTGGACAGGACTTTAATTTACATTGTGCCTTTAAAACTTCTCAACTAATTTCTATATACCGTATGTAACCAACTATTTGTACTTTTAACACTTGTAGTTAATGCCTTTAGAAAATTATTAATAACAAATAAATGTATTAGGCACAGACATTTTAGAAGTTCTTCTCATTTGATTTATTCTGTTTGAAGGCACAAATAGAAAAATAAGATGAAACCTCTGGCAGTGATATATTTCTTAAAGGTTCCTCGTGCCAAGTCTTGCTCAGGATCTGTGGATCCCTGCAGTAATAAGTAAACATACAGAAACTCGTTCGTTTTATGTAACCTTTGGTAACTTGCTTCTCAGCACCATTAAAAATGTAATTTTGTTCCAGCGTTTTTTCTAATTTATCACTTAACAAATGTCACTGACTGACAAGAGATTCTTAACAATATTAGAGAAATGTCAGGAGGACTGAGAGAGCTGGAGGTCTGGAGTCTTCTCCACCGTGCTGTAACTTCACTTTTCAATCTAGTTTTTCCGCTGGGAACCTCTGACAAAGACCTTGTACATTGTACATGGGGAAGGCACAAGACAGGTTCAGAGATAGCTTTCCTGATGAAAAGTTAATTATTTCAGCTTTCAGGCATTGCACTCACTGTATGTGTTAGTCCTTAGGCAGCTGGACAATGAAAAATCTGGTAGGCAATTTTTACTGTTGGACAGAATTCTTGTTTAAAGTGAACCGGCCACAAATGAGTTTATGCTAGAGTCTTCTTTTAGCTTTACTTACTTCAACTTGCTAGTCAATGTTTAAAAGTGACCTAAAGCCTGACAATTAACACTCTTTTAAGAAATTCTGCTTTACATTCATCATGATTGTTTAACAATTTAGCAATCAGAAAGCAATCAAATTGATTGTCTGCAAAGTCTGTGGAAGCAAAGACAAAAATGCCATTGTACTAGCACAATTTCCATTCATGGCCTTCAAATGCAGAATATTTTACAATTCATTTTTATTAAATTTCCTTATTATATAAAATTGTTGCATTCTTTTATTGAACTGATAAAAGTATTGTTTAGTTCAGCATGAGCCATTGGTTACTAATGTGACCGTGACCTAGTGAATTCAAACAAAACATAAGCAGGGAGTCAGTGAAATTAGTCTTTGCTCATTGCTTTCTTTTGTTGGTATAATATATATATATATATATATATCAACTTTAGCTGTTAGATTGTATGTCAGGCCAAAATTAATTCAGAGGAAGGATTAGAACCCCTGGCAAATATGTTTGCCCATATGCGTCCCTGTTTGGTAGATTCATGCTCTCTATTTGTCCCAAAGTCTATCACCTAGACAAGAAGGGATGAAACATTCAGAAAGGGGACACCTGTTCTAGATACCTATGTAAGAGGGAAAATGCCCTATATTGACAAGGTCTCACTTTCTGTTGCATTGCTGAGACAGGAAATAAAGGAAAATCTCCCCAATTGGACACAGACAGCAAACAATAATCTGTGTTAACCCTTCCTAATGGCTGCACATATATTTTAATAGTTTAAAGGGCAGTGATGTGCAATAACTCATAGCAAGTAATCACATTTCACTTTTTTATGGTTTGTCAGGACAACAACAGATTGGTTGATCAGGAAACTTTTCAGTTTTTTCAGAAGGGGTGAAAATGTCCTGTATTTTTAGAACTTGGACAGCTGTATGATGAGTTTAGAAAAAATAATATATAAGCAGAAATGAGAGATCTACCATTTCAAATATTTGTGGACATTTTTTTGGCCATATAGGGAATTATGACATTTCAAAGCAGTGCTGAAGTCTACTGCAGGTAGACAGAACTGACATGTTTTTCATAGATAAGAACCTATTTGTACTTTTAAAATTCCAACTCATACTTTCTGCTCCTAGCAGACAATTTAAGATAATTTAAAATAAATTTAGAAATAAAGCCTTACTATGTTTTAAAATTCAGAAAATCTTACAGCTTAGTTCAGCTGGTTGAGCAAATATTACATTTTGTGTTCAACAAGCTTTCTGCAGGCTGCAGCAAATTTCCACTCTATGCTATCTATAGTAATGTCAGCTTAAAACGATGGTATCTGTATAAAAGGTAACATTTCTTCCTCTTGGATGCATTTAAAAATGGCAAAGAGCATTCAGCCCATTCCAAGCAATAAGATTATGTAGTTGCTGATGCGTTTGTTTTTTTTTGTTTTTTTTTGTATGACATGCTTTTCAGATTTGTATAACATTTCAGACAGGGTGGATCTGAAAGAATATATTAGTGCGGGTCTCTGCAGGGGTACATCATTATGGAACAGTATGATCATATTTTTGTTACATTTAGGGTGCTTTTGATTTTATAATATCAACTGAATCATTTATTTGATGGTTTTAATGATATAGCTTTCAAAGTTTCAGGGAAAAAGTAAGTCTCAGTGGGTTCAGTTACAACTTGTCTAGAGGCAAAATTTGTTTTGATACTTTTCAAATGATACTTTTGATCAACTTGTTTAAAAGATTCCATGCATTGGTTTTGAGTGTAGGGGGTAAAATCGAAGTGGTGATACTTTTTAAATGATACTTAAGATCAACTTGTTAAAATAGATTCCATGGAATGGTTTTCGAGTGAAGAGGGTGAATTTGATGTGGTAATATCTATCCACCACTCCCTGTATTCCAGTAACGTACAAAACTCTTCCAACCCTATCCGAATCCTTTTGTCCGTTGTGTATATACCCAATGTAAAGAAAGTAAAACTTCTTGCGGGGACACAGATAGCAATAAAAACCTGACACTGAACGCACTGGGCTTTGTAAGCATTATTCTCTACAAAAATAAGGGTTGATATTCTTTACATGCCCAAGATGCTGCTTGGCTCCATTCCAGCAT